GGCGTTCTGTGATAACGCCAGAAGTTGGCGTTCAAAGACGCCAACATTTGGCGTTCGAAGGAGAAGAACGCCAATATTTGGCGTTAAAAGACGCCAATATTTGGCGTTTTTCGGAAAAGAACGCCAATATTTGGCGTTTTTCGGAAAAGAACGCCAATATTTGGCGTTCTTTAAAGGACGCCAATAATTTGGCGTTAAATGACGCCAACCATTTTACAGTGCCGCCCTGCCCCGCCCTTAACACCCCCACCCCAGTCGCAGCTGGACCACAAGCAACATCGGCCCGCCGCGCAGTGGGGTGGAAATCAACTATCTTGGGGATGAAGCCGCAGCGGTGGCCGGCCAGGTCGAGCTTTGGGACCGGCAGGGGTCGTGGGAGGGGAACGCGCGCGGACAATGTGGTGCCTTGCGCATAACTACTCGTTATGATATGGGGTCGCCCCGAAAGTACGGGCCGCTCCACTGCTAGATGCATCCCGCACATTACGGGGGGCTTGGCGCCCGCGAGACGCGTGGTAGGCCGACCCGCTGTACAAGCGTGCATCGCAGGCGTGATGTTGCCTACGTACCAGGCGCTGGGAGGGCTTGCAGAGCTGAGAGGCTGCTCCAGCTCGGCAGTGTCGTCGAATATCGGACGTATAATCCTTATAATGTGCGCACGACAGCACGAGTCCCCAAAGGGGAAATCTGCCGTCACGCCCGACGACGCCCGAAGGTTATAATTCATCCGTTTGTTTGTTTGTTTGCTTTGTCAGGTGCTACCGTGCTTCGACCCCTCGGGCGTGCAGGGGGCGTGCGGGCACGCGTGCGGGGGCGCGTGCGGCGGCCACCACACGTACCACACGGGCACGGACGGGCTGGGCTGCCTGGAGGGCGGGCGCGGTGGGCTGGGCGGCGACCTCGCCATGCCGTGCCCCGGCCGCCGCTCCATCTCCTCGGCCGTGCGCACCATGACCACCACGGACGACTGGCTCAACAACAAGTCCGCCAGCCACTCGCCGCCCACGCCCACCGGGCCGCAGCCCAACAACCACCTGGTGAGTGATCAACACTTGGAAGTGTTGAAGGGTCGGATGTTTTCAAAGTGATGAGGGTTGAACACTTTCAAATTGTTGGAAGGTTGAAGTGAAACACGTTAGGGCGTGAAAATGTTAAACTTTTTAAGTTTGGTTGGGAAGGGTTGAACACTTTAGAGCGTGAAAATGTTAATCTTTTTAAGTTTGGTTGGGTGGGAAGGGTTGAACACTTCATAATGATGTTCAAGGGTTGAACACTTTATACTGATGTTCAAGGGTTGAACGCTTTAAAATACCGAGGGGTTGAATGCTTTGTAATTCCATCAGTGCAAGAGGGAAGGATGCTGGGGGAGGGTTCTTTTGGTGAAACGGAATCTCCACGGCAAACACGATGCCGTGCCACACTGCGGTCGCAGGAGGAGGCGGCCTGTTAGTTGGGGTCACCTGCTGCCTTGACCTGACCCGGACTTAATGAGGCCCCTCCCACCCGAGGCGGGAGGGGGGGGGGGGGGTACGTGTCATCAACGCGCAAAGCGGACGCACGCCCGCCGGGCTCGTCTTACCTATTATCAGGCCTTTACGCATGAGTTAATTTCACTGGCGGGGGCCCGCAAGAAAACACAAACGCAATAAAACACACAAGAACATTTTTCCCGTAATGAAGTAATTCGTCATGTGATGCTTAGTAAATCACAGAGATTCGTATCTCTGAGAAAACGAAAACAAGCTTTCGGTGGAGTATTTTTTTTTATTTTTTTATTTTGAGA